CGAGAGATGGCGCGAGGCGAGGTGAGAGCCGAGACTCCCCGTGACTGCCGCAAGCCCGCCTCCGCCGCCAGCAAGCCCTCCCGGGAGCGACCCGGCGTGCAATCTCGGGGAATCTCTCGGCTCTCTCACCTCCGCCGCCAGCAGCCCTCCCGGGAGCGACCCGGCGTGCAATCTCGGGGAATCTCGCGGCTCTCTCACCTCCGCCGCCAGCAGCCCTCCCGGGAGCGACCCGGCGTGCAATCTCGGGGAATCTCGCGGCTCTCTCACCTCCGCCGCCAGCAGCCCTCCCGGGAGCGACCCGGCGTGCAATCTCGGGGAATCTCGCGGCTCTCTCACCTCCGCCGCTAGCAGCCCTCCCGGGAGCGACCCGGCGTGCAATCTCGGGGAATCTCGCGGCTCTCTCACCTCCGCCGCCAGCAGCCCTCCCGGGAGCGACTCGGCGTGCTCGTGGATGGCGAGGCCAGCCGGCGGCGCGGGAGGAGGCGCGGGCTCGAACGGAGGCAGCAGCGACTCGAGCGCGGCGCGGGACGGCGCCTAGAGGGACGCTCCAAGAAGGCTCAGGGAAGGTTCGCGGCGGCGACTCGAGCGCGGCGCGCGGGACGGCGCCGCAGCCGCGTCGTGCTCGGCGCGCAGCGAGTCGTCGCACAACCGCCAGAGCGACTTTTGCAGCGCGCGCTCGGCGGCGCCGCGCGCGTCGAGCGATGCGGCGAGCGCCTCCACCGCCGCCAAGCCGACGCAGCGGCGCCACGCGGCCGCCCCGCCGCCCCGCTGCCCTCCGCGCGGCGACGGCTCGACCCACACGCTCAGCGGCGCCCGCGGGCCGATGGCCCAGTAGGACGCGCCGGCGCGGTCGCGTCCGAGGCTGAGGGAGCGAGCGCGGCCGCCGGCCAGCTGCTCGTGCGCGGCGGCGCGCTCGGCGGCCGCCTGCTCCTCCGCCAGCGCGGCGCCGAGGCACGCATACGCCTCCAGCATGCCCCGGGTGAGCCAGCGGCCGGTCGCCGCGCCGAGCGAGCCAAGCCCGTCCGCGGACGCGTCCCCCTCGAGCCCAGCGGAGCGGCCTGTGGACACGTCTCGGACATGTCGTGGACGTGTCCTGGGGACATCTCCGCCTCCTCGGCCAGCCGCTTGCCTATGGCGACATGTCTCGGACATGTCGTGGACGTGTCCTGGGGACATCTCCGCCTCCTCGGCCAGCCGCTTGCCTA